AGGAACTAGCAATGTTAGGATTAATCAAACACTTGAAGTCTATCTCATGTGTTTACAGATGCTTTGCACTGTGTTTTCCATCAGCTTGCATATAAATCCACTTATATGGTTCTCAGTGAACATGAGCATATTTCCCCCCTTATGTTCTTGTCTCCTGCCCCTCCTGTCTTGCTTCACCTTATCTCTAGAATCAAGATCAGTTCAGTTCTTCCTTTAGGTCAAGGAGAGAGGGAGATGTGGCTTTTCACTGTTGCTAGACTTCAGGATCCACCATTCCTAGCCACTGGCCTGCTGACTGGAGCAGTTTATTAGTTGGAAGGCCACACTCTTCCTACCTTCACTTTAGGGCCACATCTTACCTATCCAGCCAAGAAATTCTGAAATACCCCATCCTTGCTTTGCCTATACCCTTATATCATGCCCAGCTTATGGAATAATTTCTGACTGGCCTGCTCCTTGATGGCTTGTTTGTCTTGTTGTCCCACTAATGAAGATTTTGAGATACCAGGAATGGTGTCATTTCTACACATTGTATAGCACCCAATGCAGCGAAGGGACCAAATAAACATTGAAGAGCAATAATACAGGAAGCAAATGTTCCAAAGGCTGATCATTTTCAATGGTGTACACAGGATCTCCTATTAACAGTGGAGATAGGAGATCCTGTCTCCTAAGTAAACATCAATCCATGTTTACTTAGAAGTAAGTCCCCCTGTCTTCAGTGGAACTTCGTCCCTATCAAGTTTGTTTAGGAATGCAGCCTAAGGGCACAATACTGTGCCAGTTTAGACAGAAAAGGGCCTTCAGCTCAGTATGCCCCATCAGGAGTCCCTTGATGAGCCTCCTATAGTGGGCAAGATTTCACAGAAGACAATGCATGAACATCACAATACACACTCATAAGCAGTATGTCTCTGGCACACATGGTCTGTTGGAACAACATTGTCCCAAAGAATAAAAGGTACCACATAGCTGGAGAATGCATACAAAACTTCTGCCCAGCATAAAGGAATCCCATTGCAAGCCTGAAGCTGAGGTTGTAAGCAGAGTTACTGGAGAGCAAATATTTTATGGAGCTCACAAACATTTCTTCTGAGTAACACACTGATGAACTGTGCATCTCTCTTAGGCTCACTATACCCGTTCTATGCTTTTTCTGACCACTATTTAAAACTGCACAATGAGAAAAGTGCCTAATCAAGGAAAGAGGGGTAAATATATGTTTCAACAGCTGCACTGCTTTTGAAGCTGGTAGTTTTTTAAAGAACAGGACTTTTGCTAGAAAGTGTCATTAGAAAATGCTGGCAAGAACAGAATGAATTCTGTGGCAATGTGCACACTTAATGAAGGCTGTTACGCATGAAGGACCATACACATATCATAATGTGTTCATTTGATAGATGATATGCAAATATTAGTCCATTGAAGCTCAAGGTGGCTTTGAGCAATAAACAGGGATGGAAAATGTACCTCATATACTTGATCCATGACTGAAAAACAAGCAGCTTAGGAGAAGGCATCTGGGTGTACAAAAACTTAACAGAGAAGCATTTGGAGCCCATCAAAACATGAAGCCATGGCTAAGCGTCTAATTGCTAAGCAACCTACTTCATACATTCAAAACAGAACTGTAAAAGTCATATACCCATGTCAACTACAGCTACTTCTCATCCTGTTGAAAAAAACAAAAAAAATGGTTAAAAAAAACCCAGGAAGCTTGAGAAAGACCTGTGCCCTGTGTGAGATGTTTCTTCTCTGACATTTTTACCTTTAAACTCTTTTTCATGTTTGCAGTCTGCAACTGTAACAGTGATCCATTCACCTTCTAATGCCTTTAGACAGAAGACCTAAACAGAATTCTTCATTCTTGAGCATCTTTCTTTCTTCCCAGATAAACAAAAAAGAAAAGCCAACACCATTATTTTCTAATTGAGACCCACAATTCTGCCATGGTTCCAGGAAATTTAAAGTTAGTAAAATGGGTGAGCTGAACTGAAGTGAACAGAATCTGTGTTGGTTTTGTTCCAAAAAAACATAGGTTAGGGCCAATATTTCAGATAAACTTACTTGATTGCAAAACCAGCAGTCCTTCTTAATATTCAAAAGAAAGGTCTCTGGAGCATAAAGAAATTCACACAAACAGAGTTCACACAACACACTTGGCCATGGTGGATTGTGAGTCATACTTGTTTCAGAGTGACTTCTTGTGTGGTTCAGACAAGACAACAAGACACCCTGAAATAATTCACAACTCATCATGCTTTATCATGTTGTGTGATAATAATGGATGTTAAGTGGATCTCTATTACCCTTCATGCTGTAGCAATCTTGCTGCTGCTTTAAGGTACATCCAACTTGATGAACAACCTACATTAATATCTTATTCCAAAGCTTTCAAAGTGATTTGATAGGAGAATCAGTAAAGTAGGGGTTGAGTATCCCAGAGGACACACATTAAAGTATTGTACAACTTCATCAGATGGCTTGCTCTAGTGAAGGAGCAACAGTGGTCCATTCAATCCCCTTCTTAACAGGCATCTACGTCTTGCCCCCCTTCTAGGACTGAATAAATGCATGACACACAAGTTGTGTGCATTAATCAAATGTAAATGCTTCCCTGTACAGCTAAACTCATGCGAGGAAATCTACAGTTTATCACACAGAGGAGTTGTAGTCTAGGTGCCCAGTAAATTCATGTGGCCCATTTACCTTTTGCACACTGAATCTATACAAGAAAAGGGGCATGCAAAGATTACAAAGACTGTGTGTGAGAGACTTTTTATTAGCCCAGGGTATGCATTCTCATTTTGAGCAGATTTTCTTTAAGCATGCATGATATTGTGTGTTTTTACAGAAGTCTGGGCTAAAGTTTAGGAATGTGGAGGATCCTTCCAGTCTTGTGAGTTTATGGTTCAAAACAAATGTCTTTTGACATGTCCAGAAAGAACATCAGCACAAGTGCAGCACGGCAGGAACATAATAATATTTCAAGTATTTATAGTAATAAAAAACAGGCTAGGTGTTTTTCTTCTTACCCCTTCATTGGAGTAACTCATTCCACAAACCATCCCAAGCCTCTTTTTTTCTGGCAGTCTCTAGTGATGTAGAAGAGGAAGGGAATTCGAATGGAAAGTTACGTGTTTTTCTGAATTAAAGGAGGAAGACACTGAAGGGGACATTTGTGCTGCAAGGTCTCATTGCATAAATAGTTCGCTGGAGCCATGCCTCTCAGCTGGCTTGCCCAATCCTTCTAAATTATAATTCGGAACTTATCCAAAGAGCTTTATGGATAACACTTACCAGTTCAGCATTCTAACGGATTAGGAGACCAACTTCCATCCTGTGGAGAATGAGGCATTGCAACCCAACCCTTTACCTAACCCGGTGCACTACTTTTCTGCATCTGTGTTTACATGTGGTTTGAATTTACTTTCTCCTCTTTTGAGCCACACATGTTGTGCCTCTCCAGTTTTACTGCCACTTTCTTTTCATGCTGGAAATGCCATGTTAAATCACCAGCAACTAAGCAAGGAAGTTGTGAGCTCCCTAAGGTCCACATCACACGTTTTCTTCCAGATCGAATCTCAGTATAGATTTGAAACAAACAGGTTAGAGTTCCTTACTATGCTTGCATCCAACTGATAGGAATGTCACGATCTTCAGAAAGCATCCAGAAAAAACACAACAGTAATGCCATGTGTAAGACAGTGTTACTGATCCTCACTGATTAATCCATGACTGCCTATTGATTAAATTGGTTTGTTTGCTTCAACATACATTTCAGCTGAGCCTCAGTAATGATACAAAACAGTAAGTTAGAGTAAAATCAAAGTAGATCATCTAACTATATAAATATGTTATACCTCTGTTCAGCACCAGCATCAATATCAAAAATAGGAAATGCTAATTTTAAAATTCTAGTTTCTGTGTGGCAATGCTGCACGTTACAGGAAGGGATTCTCCTAGAGTAAGATTTCCCCAAGGGCAGGACATACCATTGCTGCCTAAAAGCCTTCTGAGAAATTCATTAAGTTTCAGGTGGTATGAGGACACGAACGCTGGAAGAACCCCTTGAGAAACATGTGCAGCACATGTGGAACTGGATTTTATCTCTGCACTACCATGTGTGAGGGATGACTCAGAGATAATAGTCAGAGGGCACCATTCAGCTTGCTTGATGGATCCTGAACAACCCAATTCATTCTAAGCAATGAATCAGATGCTTAGAAACAAACGATTTCAGAATCTTTCTGGGGAAGCTTGTTGTTCAAGATTGTTTCCAACACCTGCTCAGCCTCTCAATTGTACAACATTAACCGTTTCACACCTGGATCATCTTCATAGAGTGCTCCTGATTTTGCCTTCAAGGTGCATATCAGTGTGAGAACTATCTTGTGGCTAGTGCAGCCAGATGCTGCATTTGAAAATGACACTTGACACGTGTCCAACTTTTTCCTTCTGTTTATGTGGAAGCCGTTGTTCTGAATGTTTTGCTAAGACCATAGAAAGAGCCTGGATGGATCAGACCAACAAGCTGTCCCATCCAGCATTCTGGTCTCATGGTGGCCAACCAGATGCCCACAAGTAGGACGCGTGTGCAACCACACCCTCCCTTTTATGCAGCTTCCCAACAAATGCTTGGAATTATTGTGGGATCATCAGTTGGCAGCTAAATATGAAGTAAGATGATATTATAGCTAGTGACATGTAGACTAATGGTGGTGATGGGTATTTCCAGTAATGCTTCTGAAAGGCAGGAGAACAGCTGTAGAATACGAGTGCATTAAGCAACCAGAGATGGGCTAAAACAAAAACACGAAGACAGCGACAATGCAATCGTGGAGCCCGGCAGAGGACCCAAGAGAGACAGAGGGAGGGGAAAAAGAGAGTTCAACACACCTGCTGTGAAGCAGAAGAATGAAGCTGAAGGTGGAGGACAGAGCTCCACATGGTCGGGGCCTGGATGAGACCCCGCAGCCATGGCCTTCTCCCAAACCTACCTCACGGGTGAAGAGGATGGCAGCATCGTAATGCTCCTCATGCTCATCATCCAGCTGGTTGTGCTGGTGCTGCCACTTGCAGAAGTTCTTGAGCGTGGTGGCGGCATTCTTGTTCACTTCCAAGCCTTTCTCCTTGTCCCCCAGCACCACCACCTTCACCACCGCCAGGCGGATGTGGTTCTCGATGCTGGCATGCCCATAGAGCCGCGAGGCAATGGTGGCCAGAGTCAGCAGGTAGTGATGGAGACCCTTGCCATACTTCTTGGCCATGGACTCGTCAGCCACCAGGAGCAGCTCCACCTGCCTGGCCCGGGAAACAGAGCGCCGCTTCCTGCTCCTGGCGCCCACCTCCTGGGGAAAGAACTCGTCGGGGGAAAGCGCCGCCCTGGCTGTGGGCTCGGTCTCCCGCTGCCCCTGGGGGCCCGATCGCCTTCCATCCAGAGCCGGGGGCCTGGACGAGCCACTCGTCTCGCAGCTGGGGCGCGAAGGCAGCGTCTCGAAGCTGAAATGGTCCGTGAAGAAGAGGTGCAGCACCCGGGCGGACTCGTCTCCGTAGATCCGCTCCCGAGCGGGCTCCCCTTCCTCCCGCGCTTTGCTCCGGAGCAAGGGCTTCACAGTGTAGCGGGCGTGCTTGACCGCGAAGTAGCCATCCAAGCCTCCGCAAAGGTCGAAGACAGCTAAGGACTGGGGGCTGCCGTCCACTGTACCCCGGTAGAAGCAGTGGCCCTTGCCTTGCAGCAGCTGCTCGGTGGACCCCAGCAGCGCGTCCTTCTCCAGGTCCAGGAGGAAGCGCTGCCCCCCCGCGTAGAGGATGTAGCCCACCTTGCCTCCCCCCGAGTAGGTCCGGTCGATGCTCTCCACGAGGCCGCTGGCTCGGTGCTCCTGCGCGGAGGGTAGGACGACTCCCGCCGCCGTAGCAGCGGCCGCCGCCGTCTTGGAGAGTTGCGAAGCTTTATCATAGGCAGGTGCTGAAGTTGCTGGGAAAACTCCGGCGGCGGCGGCGGCGGCGGCTTGCAAGCTTGCAGCCAGCAGGAGCGGCAGCAACAGCGGCGAGCAAACAAACTTCAGCAGCATGGTGGGCTCTGCCGCTCGCTGGCTCTTTCTCTCCGCTCGCTCTCGTCGCGGAGAAGCGACGGCCGGGCCGTGGGTGGGAGTGGGCGCAAGGTTAGCAAGAGCCGCCGCCGCCGCTCCTGCTGGCGTGGCGGGACGAGGCAGGAGCGGCACCGAAGCGGGCGAGGGAGACGCGGCGCTCACAGCAGCCCGGAGGCATCCGTGAACTTGGAGGACTTGCGCTTCTCCGCCGTGAAGCCGCCGCCTCGTCCGACCTGAGCGAGAAGCCGGCACTTGGAGCAACTCCGCCCGGAGGGTCGCGTCGAACTTCTTTCGTGCGGGTGTTATTGTTCCTTTTCTTTCGCCCGGGATGGGGACGGGGAGCGGGCAGAGAGGCAGAGTGGGGGACGGAAAGCGAGCCTGCTTATCGCAGAGGGAGCCGGAGAGGGGATGTCCCAGATGGAAGCGCCAGGTCCCCTCGCTGATGGGAGCCCAGGGATGTTTGCGGTCGTGGTGGTGGTGGTTATCCCCAGTCCGCCGATGTGAACAAGAGGAGAAGGGAGAGAGCTGTGAAGATGCGAGGAGGTGGAACAATGAATTTATAGCGGAATGCCATCCTGCAATGGCAATTTCAACAATTCGTCATTGCAGGCTGCCTCTTAAAGGGAGAGCTTCAAAACCACCCCTCCCACACGTCCTTCGCGTTTAATCAGACGGAGGAAGGGAAAGCGGGGCGGGAGGGCGGCGCAGTGGGGGCAGAGAGAAGGAGAGAAGGGAGGGCGGCTGCGGAGGTGAGAAAGAGGAAGCAGAAGAGGGCAGTGGAACTGGGAGGAAACGCTTGCGCACGGAACCCCTCAAGATTTCCTCTGAAACCTTGAAAGTCAAACTGTTCCTTAGGCAGGCTTGTTCTTTCTCAGTCCAGATGTGCTGGACTACCGCTCCCAGCTGGCTATGCTGGGAGTTGTAGTCGCCGCATTTCTGGAGGGCACCAGGTTGCAGAAGCTTTTCGTTGCCGCAACCTATTTGTTCTCTCCACTCTTTTCCTGCCCCACCAGGTTTACGCTGGCTGCTATGTTTATGGCACTTTAGGCACAATCCTACGTGTGTTTAGGTAGGAAAGCATCCTACAACTCCCAGCATTCCCCATGTTGGCTGGGGAATGCTGGGAGTTGTAGGATTTTTTTCCCCATCTAAACAAGCAAAGGTTTCCGCTCTTGGTATCTTTCGATTAAGTGGCTGAGGTTACTTTAGAAGGGGCAAGTACAGTCTGGGTCTTCTGAATCTCTCTCTCTCTCTCTCTCTCTCTCTCTCTCTCTCTCTCTCTCTCTCTCTCTGTGTGTGTGTGTGTGTGTGTGTGTGTGTCTGTAAAAGAGGTGAAAATCATATATGTCACCCATTCCCAATTTCTGTAAACAACAGATAAGTCTTCCAATGCAGATGCTTCCTTAGCTAGTGTTGCCAAGGCTAGGAGGTATTGCTGTGGTTAGCAGCTGCTCCATTTGTGCAAATGGAAGAAAAGCAATCCATTCCTTCTCCCTGAATCTGTATCCCTTGAATTCTCACTGCATGTTCTCCTGTCATTATCCCAGGCTAGCCTGGGCAGTCTGTAATTTCCTCTTGCAACCAAAGCAGAACCAAAAGCTTAGGAAGAGCTTCTTCTTGCTACAGGAGAACTTCAAATCATTCCAGCCAACACTACATTTATTCTAACTCCTTCACCACCTGCCCCGCACCCATCCTTGTTGATCCAGCAGAACTATCCTGTACACAGGCATTGAGATATCTGGAGCTTCATGAACTGGCGATGTAATTAGTCCCCCTGGACTTGATCTCTGGAGCATGAAAGGAAAACACCCAGACTGAACCTTCCCTTTTTAAAAATGGAAAAGCAGATGTGAAGAAATGAAAAAGAATTGCACCATCATTTCGGCTGATGCTCCTAAGATGAGATCAGATGAGGGACCAGAGCAGCAAGATTTGAAAGAGCAAAAAATAATCTGATTGCATAGGGTGCATCTCATAGCCAAACATATTGTATCTCCGCAGTTTGAAAAGCTATGCAAATATTAGAATTCTAGAATCTGTGCAGAACAGAGTCATATTTGGAAAATTTAAGGGCCCATAAGTTCCAATGGCCAGAGAATGTGTGTACATGCATAATGTTAATCATTTCCAGTCTGCATTTTTGCCTACCACATCATCTGCGTGAAGTTTGCTGTATATTAGCACTTAATAGATTTTAGGTGCTTATAAATAATAAATGTGGCAATGTCTTGTGCTGCTTGAGTAAAACTAATCATAATGCTTCCTATTTTATTTTATGATTTTATTTCTTTCTAGGCCAACTGGAAAGAATCATTTCCCTTTGCTTGGTAGTAAAGATTCTTTTCTCTGCTCAGCTATTTCTTTTTTCAGTTCCTTTCAGATGTAGTAGTTTAAGGTACAATCTTCTGCACATTTACACATAAAAGGACCTATAATTACCTGCTCAAGTTCAACTTCTATTAACGGTAAGAAAAAGGTAATACTGTTCTTAACAACACAGTCTATGCATGTCCATTCAGAAGTAAATGTCATTTAGTTCATGGTGTTTACTTTCAGGTAAAAGTATTTATTGCTACCAGGTATCTATGCGACTCCAGCACAGACCCAGAAGCTGGATGTGATCAAAGCCAAGCAGTTCCACATGCAGTGAAACTATTGTGATAAGGCTTGATTGATCTTGCTAGCTACTTCTCTCTTGCAAGCCTACCCTGATCTCACAGCACATGGCAGTGGGGATCCTTGCATGTCCCTTATCCATAATTCTGGAGTCCCCAGGACACTGAGGAAAGACTTAGTACTTATGTTTTTGGGTTATGTGCCTTCAAGTTATCTTTGACCTATGGCAATCACAGGAATGACGGCCCTCCAAAATGTTCTCTCCATGACAGCTCAATTCAGCTCTTCCAAGTTCAAGGCTATGGCTTCCTTTCAGGATTCACTACATCTCATATTTGGTCTTTCTTTTGTCTTCTGCTTTCAACTTTATTGAAACATTATTGCCTTCTCATGATGTGCCCACAATATGACAGCCTTAGTCATTTTTATCAATTTTGCTTCTAGAGAAAGCTCTGGCTTAATTTGATCTAGCATTCACTTGTTTGTCTTTCTGTCAATCCATGGTATCCCCAAAGCTGTCCTCTTCAACCATGTTTTAAATACTTCAGGTTTTTTCCTGTCAGATTTCTCTACTGTCCAGCTTTCACAACCATACACTGTGCCTGAGAATACAATAGCATGGATGATCTTGACCTTGGTCTCCAGTAAAATGTCCTTAAACTTCACGAACTTTTCTAGTTGCTTCATTACTGCCCTTCCAAGTCTCATTATTCTTGAAATTTCTTGGCTGCAGTCTCCCATTGAATTGATGATTCAGCCAAGTTAGCTAAAATCTTTGAGTTTCAATTTCAGCATTATTAACAGCAAAGTTCTGTATTTCTTCTGTGGACATGATTTTTGTTTTCTTAATATTAAGCTGTAGTCCTGCATATTGCCATCTATTGCTGGCAGTATGATATCATTGGCCTATCTTGAATTAATAATGTCTCCTTGCCAATTATCACCGCTTCTTCTGTTTCTCATCTAGTTTTCCTTACATACGTTCTGCAAACAAATTGAACAAATAAGGAGATAAAATACATCCTTGTCTGACACCTTTGCCTAAGGGAAACCATTCTGTTTCTCCATAATCTCTCCTAACTGTAGCTTCTTGTCTGTGATACAGATTATGCATCAGATCAGTGAAGTGCTGAGGGGCACATATTTCTTTCAGAACCAGCGGTAGCTTCTCATGATCTGTCCAGTCAAAGGGTTTGCTGTAGTCTGTAAAGCACTGATTGATATTCTCCTGAAATTCTTGGGTGTGCTCCAGGAGCAAATGTATATGTTCCCGAGTGCTGCTTCCTTTTCTTGCTCCATTGGGTACTATTCTTTGCTGGAGCACTTTGAGCATCACTTTACTTGTGTCGCGTCTTATGGTTGCTGTGCTCTTTTTTCTCTCCTTCCTTAGAAATTTGAATATATATCGAACAATTCTAGTCTGTGGGCCATTGCTTTGTTTTCCATATTTTTCCACATATTTTGGTTAGGATTTGAACTGATTTGTTTTCTTCAGCTTGGAAAAGTTGTGTTGGTGTCCTGTCTGTTCCAGGTGTTTTATTTTTTTCACACTGCATTTTTACCCTACCTTTCTTCCTCTTGCAAGAAGTTCAGGTGGCTTACTAAGTTGTTCTCTCCATTTTATCCTTACAACAACAACCCTGTGAGGTGGGTTAGGCAGAGAAGCGGTGACTGGTCCAAAGTCATCCAGTAGGGTTCATGGCTAAGTGGGAACTGGAACCTAGATCTCCCAAGACTCTTAACCACTACGTGACAATGGGTTCCCTTCTTATCCTATGCGTTGACCATGGATAAGTTTCCTGGTTAGACAAGAACAGGAAACTTTGGCTTGGTTCAGATATAATACCAACATTTGACTTCAAAGTATATGAATAAACCTGCAATAAGCACCAGGTGTTCTTATCACTTCTTTTCCCTGCCATCTTCCTTCACATTTGATTACTTCCCTCTCATCCTGGTCTGTGACAGACATCTGACCTGGCAAACCATGGCCTGTGTGTGTCCTGCTAACGTGGTTGGCAATCAAAGTCTGGTTTACATAGATGAAACAGTCAACTAGGATGTGCTACAAATCAGGAAAGGAAACACACACATACAGAGCCTTCTCAGTTGTGGCACCCCATTTCTGGAATCAACTTCTATTGTGTTTCGTTTATCTATGTTATCGTCACCCTGGGGCATTGTAAAGGGCGGGATACAAAATTTTTAAATGATGAATGAATGAACAAACAAACTTCTCAGGGATATTTGTCAGACACCATCCTTATACATATTCTGGCACCAGACCAAATCATTTTTATTGCAGAAGCATTTTAATTGTGGATGATTTTAGCTGGAATTTTATTTTAATTATATTTTAATTTTAGTATTCTCAATTTGACATTTAAGATAATCCCAATGTGTTATTAAACTATTATTTGGTGTTCCTGCTATGATGTTACATTACTTTATGGTTTTAATTGCATTATTTATGTTTTATGTTGTTGGTTTTTATTATGTAAACCATCTAGAGAGCCATGTGCCTATAGGACAGTATACAAAAGTGCTAAATAAACAAACAAATAAATAAATAATACAAACGTACATAGTTGGCTTGTCATGGGTGCTCTAAGGAACACTGGGATCGTAATGTTATTAGTAGGCTATTGATCACTATCACCTTCAGAAAATCTAATTTATTTATTGTCACTATTGTTTTGATCTGCACTCTGCCTTTATCAAACTGGTACTCAAAGCAGCTGACAAGCACAATTGAAATTGATTGAAACAGTATATTTATAACAAATAAAGTACAGTAAGTTTATTGTACACTTTTATGAACAATGGAAGTATAAAGGACTGAGTAAAAAAACAAAAGCAAAACAGCACTGAACCC